AAAAACTGAAAAAAAGAAGAAACGATGAAAGAGAGGAGAGAAAAGGGAGACAATGATAAAACCTTTTCAGTCTGCTTATCACCTGCAAAGAGATGTAAAAAAATAACAGCACAACCGACGGACATGGTACGAGACATACAATAAAGTAACACCTTGATACAATCACGGAAGAATAATTAGTATTATTTCATCTGACATGTATTCAGTGTTAACTGAATATAAGAAAATGGGTTTTCTATATGGCAGTGAATCTCTAAGTACCTGGAACCAAGCACCTGTAGATGTTTGTGAAAGTGCACTTGTGCATGTAAAGTTTAACCAAAGAAAAAATGCTCAATGGTGGATGTGAAGAGCCGAAGAGCCCCCCCCCCCTCGAATCCAGCGCCGGGAGACCCACAGCCCCAGAAACCCAAAGGGACCCCAAGAGCGAAGGCGCCAAGGAGGGGCAAACCCAGGAAATAGGACTCCCACCAAGGGAGGAGGAGAGACTGCCCCGAGGAAGTCTCATTCTAATGAGTTGGTTAATTATTAGTCAGATGTTTTTCTTACCTTTGGCTGCATCCTGTCAGTCCCTGTGATGAACTGAGCGTGACCTCCTCCCTCTTTGGCCACCCCGTTGATAAGAGCAGAGCTGGCTCCTTCTCCGATCCCAAAGGAGAAACATCTGCAATTCAAGATTTGATTTTAAACTCAATATAACATGAGAACATGATCCAGACTGGCAACAAATGTGTTTATGGTTTCACCTGTGGGAGCCTGAATTCTTCTTAACAAGGTTAATAACTTCTTTGGTGTTTCCCACTTCTCCATCAGTGAAGACAAACAGCTGATGGAGGAGAAATCACACAATGTTACTCAGTGTCAGATTAAGTCAGGAGCCGGAAGTCTTTAGAAGGATCTGTATAAGAGGAGTGTCTCTCTGATGTTATAGTAGGACAAATAGTGTTGACATGGATGAACAGCAACCGAAGTTATGACAAACATGAGCTCCAAAGAAAACAGGTTAAACCAGAATTCAATGAAATGTTGAAGACGTAGGAGTGACTGTGATGAGTCACCATTGTTGACATTAGATTTATGTGCTAAAGTTGAAGGAGTTGTGCAGTCTTTATAGTCGGTTCTATATAAGTGAGTATAGCTTACCTGTCGAGGGTGTTTAGGAATGCAGGGCTGGCTATAAATGTGTTGGAGAGGCCGAAGGATCTCTGTTCCGCCAAGGTTTGCCTCCATCTTTTCAATATTATTCAGAGCCTCATTCATTGTCTTCTCATTGTACTCCACACTCGTACTGCCATCGAAAATGTTCAAAATACTTTAGTTAAAATCATGATAATTAATATGATAAGCCACCATATGTCTCATAATATTTTAAAAGGGATGTTGGGGTAAGGGGTTAGATATCACTCATGGAAAGATATGTTCAAAGCTGGAACCAAAACTGTAGATGTTAAAGTAACAGCCCATTGGTAAGCTCTTCAACAGGAGCAGCAGAGTGTCCTAGAGAAAGACACATAAAGTAAAGATCATTAACTATGAGGGACAGAATAATGCTTTCAAAATTTAACATGTAAAATTTCAGAATTTATCAAATTCACACAGGAAAATACTTGAACATAAGTAAACTTATCTTTTTTCAGACATTCACCATGTTAAAGCAACTTAATTTTTAATTTTATCTGTATGTCATTCTATAAGTGCTCTCAGGTTTCCTTTAAATAGTTACTGACCTGAAGGTTTATGGTCAAGATGCTCTCTGTATTTATTGTTATAGATGTCCAGATATCTAAGCTAAATCTAAAACTGGACATAAAACCAAGGCCTGTTTCTGTTTAGTTACTCTTCAGAAAGAAAGACAAAATAACTCAATATTTATCAGAGTAGATTAGTCTTTATCAATCAGGTGGAGATCAAAGAAATACTCATCTAAAAAGGTTTAAATCTACCTTTTTTAAGTCCTGATTACAATTTTTTAATGATTGCAACAAACAAGGCTATCAATACATTTTGTTGAAGATACAGTGCATAATTTTTAGTGTAATTGAATAGTCGAACTGCAGGGATATGAACCGCTGCCCCCACTGCTTTTCCAATTCAACAGTATGGAGGGAAAAAAATGGCTGCCTAATATAGCAAATATACTTGTTCAACATCATCGTCTTTTTTGGTAAAGTGGCATAAAAAGACTAAGTAATTGTAGTCGTTTAGCTTCATAGCGATATTGTGTTGGTTGGAAGCATACATATATATTCTCTGTTTACAGAGTCCAAGTCTTCACTATGGTACAGGGGTTATTAAATTAGTAAGAGGATGAGAAAGAGGGCAAAGAGGTTGTGCAGGGCAAGCACATAGGGTCAAGCGAGGGAAAGGTGCCTGGAGAGACAACTGGAGCCGAGGAGGCAAAATTGGATGCTCTCCAAAGGAGACAGAGAGAAGTAACCAAGGTATTTATCCAGAAAANAGTCTATTGAGGCAAAACTTTTCAATATCAGGTTAGCTTTCAGGAGAATGTTAGTACAGTAATAGACACAAAGGTTATGTGTCCACTCTTCTTAAAACAGAAAACTCAGGGTTTCCCTGATTTAAGGTTTAAAAAACCTAGAGTTTTCAATAAAAATGCTTAATGAAAGGGGATGTAAGGTTTACCCAGAGTCCTCTGCAGGTTTCAAATCGAAGTGCAGCTGATTCTGGGAGGGGTGACCTGCCAGGGTGTACTTCACTGTCACGCTGCCCTCTGTTCCCTCTGAACTCTGACAATGAAAAACAGAAGTACAATTAGAAAGAATCATGATTTAAAAATCCTCATGAGCAGAAACTCAAATGATGGTGACCATACCTGGCCTGTGAGTTGAGCATAAATCAGTGACCTCTGACCCTGAAAGATTGCTTTGATGGGTGGAGAGAGAATGGTGGCAGACACTCCCTTTGGTAAATCCCAAGAGACAGAAACATCCTCCACCGCAGGCTGCAGAGCAAACCTGAGTGACTGCATCACCTGTTTTTCAAACAATAGTTGTGAAATTATTTATTCAAATATAATCATATTCATTCTTTTTTTTTTTCTAAACAGTGTCCTGTCTGGCGATTTGGCAATAAGAATAATTGTCTTGTTGCCAAAAAGAGCCCAACAGATTTTACTTTCACAATTGGAGCAGTACGGCTATCGCCATAGTGTTCCGCTTGATTTATGCATATAAATTGCTTTATTATAATTATGCAGGGAGTTTTACAGATTATATGGACACTGCAATGTAAGTAGAACAGGAAAGTAAAAACTGAAAAAAAGAAGAAACGATGAAAGAGAGGAGAGAAAAGGGAGACAATGATAAAACCTTTTCAGTCTGCTTATCACCTGCAAAGAGATGTAAAAAAATAACAGCACAACCGACGGACATGGTACGAGACATACAATAAAGTAACACCTTGATACAATCACGGAAGAATAATTAGTATTATTTCATCTGACATGTATTCAGTGTTAACTGAATATAAGAAAATGGGTTTTCTATATGGCAGTGAATCTCTAAGTACCTGGAACCAAGCACCTGTAGATGTTTGTGAAAGTGCACTTGTGCATGTAAAGTTTAACCAAAGAAAAAATGCTCAATGGTGGATGTGAAGAGCCGAAGAGCCCCCCCCCCCTCGAATCCAGCGCCGGGAGACCCACAGCCCCAGAAACCCAAAGGGACCCCAAGAGCGAAGGCGCCAAGGAGGGGCAAACCCAGGAAATAGGACTCCCACCAAGGGAGGAGGAGAGACTGCCCCGAGGAAGTCTCATTCTAATGAGTTGGTTAATTATTAGTCAGATGTTTTTCTTACCTTTGGCTGCATCCTGTCAGTCCCTGTGATGAACTGAGCGTGACCTCCTCCCTCTTTGGCCACCCCGTTGATAAGAGCAGAGCTGGCTCCTTCTCCGATCCCAAAGGAGAAACATCTGCAATTCAAGATTTGATTTTAAACTCAATATAACATGAGAACATGATCCAGACTGGCAACAAATGTGTTTATGGTTTCACCTGTGGGAGCCTGAATTCTTCTTAACAAGGTCAATAACTGCTTTGGTGTTTCCCACTTCTCCATCAGTGAAAACAAACAGCTGATGGAGAAGAAAACACACAATGTTACTCAGTGTCAGATTAAATCAGGAGCCGGAAGTCTTTAGAAGGATCTGTATAAGAGGAGTGTATCTCTGATGTTTTAGTAGGACAAATAGTGTCGACATGGATGAAGAGCAACCAAAGTTATGACAAACATGAGCTCCAAAGAAAACAGGTTAAACCAGAATTCAATGAAATGTTGAAGACGTAGGAGTGACTGTGATGAGTCACCATTGTTGACATTAGATTTATGTGCTAAAGTTGAAGGAGTTGTGCAGTCTTTATAGTCGGTTCTATATAAGTGAGTATAGCTTACCTGTCGAGGGTGTTTAGGAATGCAGGGCTGGC